AGAAGAGAGTGGAGAAGAGAGGGAAAGGGGAAACCTGGGAGGAGGGAGCTGGAAGGGGGAAGTAAGGGGAAGTAGGGAGAGGGGAAGCTGAGGGTTGGGGGTCTCACTGAACCAACTTGATTTTCACACCGCATCTGCCACAGTGGCAGCACTTCCCCGAGCCAGGCCATGTTGGCGCGTGTGTAGAAGCTGCGGGGGCTGGCAAGAGGCAGTGACAGAGCTGGCCAGCGAGCCGAGGAGGTGAGGCCAGGGTGGGAGAATCTGTGCTGCAGCTTGAGTAGGGCTACCATACATCCGTTTTTTCCTGGACATGTCCTTGTTTTCACATGTTAAATCGCCATCTTGATGGGTTTTTTAAAAGGCAAAGGGGATGCAGGAGAAGGCGGGGGCACATGCCTTCAATGGAACATTTGGAGCTGCGCACCTGGACCATTCACAACAGTGATGCGCATGGGCCCCAGCACACGGAGGGAAAAGCATGTGGCTCCTGTGAGACCCAGGGCGTAAACCTCTAGCTTGCCAAATTTATATCCCCAGCTCTGTGGGAGGGGAGGGGCATTGAGTTAGAGCAGGGAGGCTGGGTGTGCTTGGCTCTGGGGGAATGAGGACATTGGATTTGAGCAGGGGATCTGGGGATACCTGGTGCTAGTGGAGGGCATGGGAATTGGGTTGGAGTGGGAGGACTGGAGGGAGCCTGGCTCTGAGTCAGGTGGGTGCATTAGGTTAGAGCAGGAGGCCTGGAGGGTGTCTGCCTACAAACAACAAGAGTTACTCCCATTGAGAGATGGACAAAGAAAGGCAGGAAGAATATAAGATCTACATTTTCTTACTTCTCCATAGATACCCTGAATTAATAGATTCTTTTGAAAATGCTGCCTCCTGTAATTGGAATGAGAAGAGGCAACAAGATATTGAGCAGACTGGCAGGATTTTTATTTCAGACTATTCCCATATGTTTAATTGCCCATCATGAAGAGTGGACAGTAAAAATAAAGATGCCACTACAATCGTCATTTAAAAAAATTATTTACATCAAATAGAATTTCATGGGAGTATGGGAGGGACAATCTATCTGCAGTTACTGTTAGTATCCGCAAATGCTGGAGCATCTTATCAGGTCTTTAAGGTTCACCATAGAGGCTAAAATCACAAAGTCTAAGAGTTGTGAGCATCATGTTTCTTAGTCCATTAACACCAAGGTATAGAAAGGGCCTAGGAATTGAAAGGCTGCATAATTCAGTATTGTAACTTTCCCTTCAACATACCATTATGTGTATACTGCTGTAAGTTATGCTGACTTTAAAATAGTGTACTTTAAATTGACTTCCCGCATTAGCATAGACCAATCCTCAGAAAGATTCAGGAGAGGTCATAGCACACATGCCAAGACACTATCCAGCAATATTGGAGACCCAATTTTCAAATAACTTCTCCCTATGAGATAAAGTGAGAATTAAGCAAGAATTGACCTGTGTCTGCCACACTCACAGGAGAGCTCTACTCATTGGACTAAAGGATACAAGGGAAGCAGCAACATCACTGCCTCTTCCATTCCCATCCATTTGGTCAGTTTGGGCACTTCTTTGTCTTTGCTTCTACACTGAAAATTCCCAAGGAAAGAAAATGTTTCATTTTCCACTTGCCAAATATTTTGGGAATTGTCAGATTGGAATCAGATAGAACTGAATTTCTTTTTCAAATTTGTAACCACCTCTTCACTCCACCATCAATCAATGGCCGGACTCTATCCATTTATCACTCACAATCCCCTCAGCCATTCCATTCCTACCACCCTTGTTCTTCAAAATCTAAAATACCATTCAACAGAACAGAGAGGAATATCTCATAGAGACGCTGCTGATGGTGTATAAATATTTAGTGATTTTTTTTTCTGTTTAATCTATATGGTAGAGAAACCTAACCCTTTCCATATTACTTCTTATTCAATTCAGTGTGGAATAGCACAAATGAGGCACACTCTCGGTGCCCTCTCTTGGAAACATTACCCTTGCTAATACTTGTGTTCTTGTTCCTTTAACGTAAAAGAGGGGGCTACTTTTCAAACCCTCGTGGATGAACGGATACCAGGATATCTCTGCAATGACCCCTAAAGGACATAGACTGCAGAGTAACAGGAGGCTCTGCGAAACACCCTTTGCTTTAGTTATATCATACACTTCAACCTTACAACTGTATAATGAATCCAGCCTCAATACAAAGAAGAGAGGGATAGATTTGATATCCTTTTCTTTCCCAACACCTAGGGCTTCATGATTGCAAAGCATATTTTATGCTCATGCATGTAAAACAGGAGCCTCCTTGAATTTAGTTGGGCCAGTATCCTAATGAAGTCTTGATCACTGCTGGCATGTGCAGACCCTGTTGGAATACAAATTTATGATAATAAAAATATGATCATGAACAATACTACCATTGGATGCTGCAAAATGACATTGCAATTGGCTGGGAATGGAATTCAACTGTTTTTGTTCTTCTCCGCGGAATCTGTACTGAATTAAAGATATTTATGAAGAAGTGGCAGGCTTATATATTGCTTTTCGCAGGGCATCTTTAACCTCCCTGTTCCTCAGGCTATCAATGAGGGGATGCAACAAGGGGATCACCAGCGAGTAGAACACGGAGGCTATTTTGTTGGTGTCCAGGGAATAGTTGGAGGCAGGACGTAAATACATGAAGAGTTTGGTGCCATAGAACATGGCCACCGCTGACAAGTGACAAGTGCAGATGGAGAAGGTTTTGTGCCAGCTCTCGGCAGAGTGGATCTGCAGGATGGTCGAGATGATACAGACATAGGAGAGGAGGATGGTCGCAACGCTGATCATAATAATGTAGTACGTGGAGGCAAACAACACAATCAGAGTGTGTCAGAGCAGGAGAGCGCCAGCAGAGTGGGGCTTTCACAGAAGAAATGTTTGATAACATTGGAGCTGCAGAATGATAGCTGGAGTAAAAAGCAGATGATTATCATTGAATCAACCAGTGCCACCCCATAAATTCCAGCCATCAGCTCTGCCAGAACAGCTGATCGTCAGCACAGCACAGCGGCCATTTTTATTTTAATGAAGCGGGGATTATTTAAATAAATAAATAAGTAAACTACTTTACATGGCTCCGTCAACTGAGCCATGGAGTCTAGACATACCCTCAGATTTTAGATTCTAAAGGATTGGCCCACCATGCTATTCTGGGTACGATCTAAAGCAGAGCTACTCAACACACAACCCGTGGACCAGTGTAAGGTTTTAATTTCTTGGACACACTGGGTGCAGGTGAAAACAAACAGAGGATTTATTGATTCACACAGCTGGTAGAGTACTCATCAGGGGTTAACCCGATGAGCACTAATTTAACCAAAACATACATTAGATTATATAGGTAGCAGATGAATGGAGGAGAAGTGATTTGATAGGTCTAGCAGCGGAAGTGAGATATGCACAGAAGCCAATGGTCTACGACAGTTACACAGTATCTCTGCCCATTGCCGATTAAACATGCTATCACTAATACAGGTCGTTATTCCTAACAAGCTAAATAAGCCAACATAAACAAAGGCATGTTGATGGTCATTTTGTCGGCTGGAAATATAATGCATCTCCTGTGGGGGTGGTATTGCCTTGGCACGATCTTTGGGATTCAAGCTTATTTTCTAGGAACAAAGCAGACAATGAAAAACAATCCCGTGCGGTAGTTTGGTTGTTTGGTACCAGCCTTATCAAAGTGAGGCCCTTTTGGAATGTGGTTGCCAGGGGAACCAGGGTCACAGTAACCGTTGTACTGTATGTTTCTCAGGCTTGGTCTGATCCTTTCGGATTTGAGTTTGTCAGTTCTCAGCAAGATACCATGGGCTGCCTCAATTTACCCTACAACCACATTCAGCCTGTGGCTCCTTTGCATGTGTCCCACAGTGCCTTGAGCCACTTCCTGAGCCACCTGCCTGCCTCATTGCTGGGGCTCCAGCTGCAGCGCTGAGCCAAGCACCGAGCCGCGTGGCTTTGACCCAGGCCGCGTTCTGGAGCCCCCTGCCTGCCTCATTGCTGGGGCTCCAGCTGCAGCGCTGAGCCAAGCACCGAGCCGCGTGGCTTTGACCCAGGCCGCGTGCACAGGAGCTGCCAGCTGGTGGGAGGGGGGAGTTGTCAAAAGGCAGTGGCAAAGCACGCCTGCCGCATCTGCCACAGTGGCAGCGCCTCCCCAAGACAGGCTATGTCGGCACATGCACACAAGCTGCTGGTGGCTGCAAGAAGCAGTGGGGTAGCCGGGCAACGAGGCACGTGGCAAGGCAGTGGCAGAGCTGGGCAGTGAGACAGATGTTCAGAGATGGTAAAGAAGTCAAGGAGAAGTGGAGCTAAATACCATCCAATTTGTATCTGTAAGTAACTTTTGCTCTCCACTAGAAGGAGATGAATCTGGTGGGCTAAAAGCCATCAAAGCTGCATTGCTCTTACACACTCAGTAAAGTCATCAGTGTCAATATTTAAGATAGAATGAGAACCAGGTTCTGTTTCCCCAACGACTTGACTCAGGTACCTTCTCGGGAAACCCAGAGACTCCAATAACTGGGCAAAAAGAGAGCCAACAACAACCTTACTTTGTTTTTAAAAAAAGAAATCACGCATGTCATACGTCCAACCATATAATGAAAGAAACCACAATACAAAGATGAAGGGGACAGATGTGATGCTCTTCTTTTCTTTCCAAATACCAAGAGCTCTATTTTTGTAAAGCATGTTACTTATATATTTGATGCTAACGCTTGTGAAATAGGTTCATCCTGGCATTTTGCTGGAGCAGTAGCCTCATGAAGTCTTGGTTTCAGTTGGAGCTAGGAGACCTTGTTGGAGTACAAACAAATTCACAATAATAACAATCTGATCATGAACACTGCTACCACTGGGCTCTGCAAAATGAAATTGCAACAGGCTGGGAATGGAATTCAACTGTCTTTGCTCTTCACCACTGCATTAGTATTGAGTTAAAGAGATTTATGACTGGGTGAGAGGTTTATATATGGCTTTTCTAAGAGCATCCTTCACCTCTGTGTTCCTAAGACTATAGATGATGGGGTTTAACATGGGGATCACCAGCGTGTAAAATACTGAGGCTACTTTGTCTGTTTCCATGGAATTGCTGGAGGGGGGGCGTAAATATATGAAGAGTTGGCTGCCATAAAACAAGATCACCGCCGTCAGGTGACAAGTGCAGGTGGAGAAGGCCTTGCGCCGGCCCTCGGCAGAGCGGATCCTCAGGATTGTGGAGATGATATAGACATAGGAGAGGAGGATAATCACAATGCTGATTACTAGAGTGAAACATATAGAAGCAATCAGCACAATCTCATTGATGAGGGTGTCAGAACAGGAGAGTGCCAGTAGTGGGGGAAGTTCACAGAAGAAATGGTTGATGATATTGGAGCAGCAGAATGACAGCCGAAATGTACAACACGTGTGTATCATTGCATCTGCCAACCCCGCAGCACACACCCCAGCCACCAGCTGGTTACACTGCTGCCTGGACATGGCGACTGTATAGAACAGGGGGTTACAGATGGCCACATAACGGTCGTACGCCATCACAGCCAGCAAGAGACACTCAATATCTGCAAACCAGCTAAAGAAATACAATTGCACAATGCAGGCAGTTCGAGAAATGCTTTTCCGTTCAGCTAAGAAAATCTGCAGCATCTTAGGGGCAATAACTGAGGAACAGCAGAGATCAAAGAAAGACAAACTCCGGAGGAGAAAGTACATGGGGGTGTGGAGTCGGGTGTCAATTGTAATTAACAAGGCCATCCCCCCATTCCCTACCAGGGTGATAACATAAATCAGTAGGAACAACACAAACAGGGGGACCTGCAGCTCCGGGCGATCTGTCAGTCCTGAGAGAATGAACTCAGTCACCACCGAGTGATTTCCCTCTTCCATCTTTTCTGAGCCGGGATCAGGTAGCTACTGTGATGTGGGGAGGCAGATGTCTCAGACAACCTTTCCTTCTCTGTAATGAAACTGAAGAAAAATGAAGATCAGTTTCTCAATGGGCACCAGTACCATATTGGGGAATGACTAATCCACAGAGCCAGATGTTCCCAGCTCATCATTCCAGATGTTCCATACAATGTGCTCACTGTACACAATGAAGAATACACAGATCAGTCAACCCGCCCCCTCCGTCCTGCAAACACTTGTTCATTAATCCAAGTAGCAAGCAGTGGCTCATAACTCTGCTGTGGGAGAATCAGGGGGAAACCCTCTCAGACAGAAGCGATATTTGCTTAGCTCAAGAAGGGGTAAGAGAAATCAAATGTCAGTCTGTTTTCCCTCTTTAGGCAAGGTGAGCTCTGTGGCTCAGCATATCGGTTTGGGACAGATCTGACTAGCTGAGCTAATTAATTATTCTGGAATGTGAAAATGGCATTTATGTTAGTCGGTACAGAAACCCAGATACAGAATGAGAGGCAGTGGCCTCAGTGACTACATAATTGCCTATTTTTTCCAACCAAAGATGACATTCAGTTATCTCAAGGGGTAGGCACTGGACTGAACCTTTTAATGCTGGTGGTCTTGACTTCAATGCCTGCTTATTTCCATGGTTTCTGTATGTGGGTACATGTGCTGCAGGACACTCACACATACCTGCTGAGGAGAGCGATGTGGGGGCCTTTTTCCATCGACAGGAAGTGCCAAGTTGGAGCCGTTGGGAAGTTTTATATTGCGATCTATGATCTATGAGACATGCTCCCTGAAACAACTGGGAATAGCTGGGCTCAGAGAGACACAACACCTCATTAATGTGCTTAGTTAACCAAAGCCAACCTCAGTGTAACTCATAGCCTGGGGATTAATTGTCCCACTCTTTGCTCCTGTGTCATTAAATGATGCAATTTCTATCAGAGTTACCTAGAAGAAGGTTAGTTCTGGCTGGAACCAAGCAGAGTTGATCAGTAAAAAGATGATTTGTTTGATTGTTTGTGGAAATCAAAATCTTGAAATACTGGAGGGTCCCTCAGAAACCGTAGCCCACCATGCTGTTCCGTGGCTCACAGGCTCGAACTATATTCCTCAAGATACAGAGTGGTCTCTCTTCTTTTAGAACTGCCGTGGAACTTTACCATGGACCCAAAATCAGAGTTTGCAGTGGAGGGGAATTGGTACTTGAAAGAAAGAAAGAATCTCCATCAATGGATTCTTCTCTAAGAGAAGTCTCCATCCGATTTATGTGCTTCTCTGCACCAATCTCCTAAATCTTGAAATACCAGAGGGTCTCTCAGAAACCCCAGCCCACCATGCTCTTTGGTGACTTCCAAGTTGGAACTATATTCCCCAAGATACAGGGTGGTTTCTCCCCTTGCAGAACAGCCCTGGAACTTCACTACAAACCCACAATCACAGGTTGCAAAGGAGGGGAATTGGTATAAGAAAGAAAGAAAGAAAGAAAGAAAGAAAGAAAGAAAGAAAGAAAGAAAGAAAGAAAGAAAGAAAGAAAGAAAGAAAGAAAGAACCCACTTTCGTATTCTTCGCTGGTGTAAGTAAGTATAGCTCCATTAAACTTTGGCTGGATGAACTGACCTTCAGGACCATGGACAGATCAATGTTGCCATGTGTCAGCTCACAAAGGCATGGTCATACAGGATTAAGGATTTGCTTCAAGACAAGAGTCAATTAGGGATAGTTGTGTTTATGAATCTCACTGGGTACATCTAGACTACAGGCTTTTCTCGACAGAGGCTTTGTCAACAGATACTGTCGACAAAGCCTCTGTTGACAAAGAGTGTCTAGATTATAGCCAGTTCTGTCGACAAAGGAAGCTGCTTTTTCGACAGAGAGTGTAGACGCTCTCTTTTGAAAAAAAGCGCAGTGTGGATGCAATAGTGCCTTTTGTCAACGAGGTTGACTGCCATCAAGAATGAGGTTTACTGCCATCAAGAAAACTGCCACATTTAGGGTATGTCTAGACTACAGGGTTTTGTCGACAGAAGTTTTGTCAACAGATACTGTCGACAAAGCTTCTGTCGACAAAGAGCATCTAGACTGCAGCCAGTTCTGTCGAAAAGCAAGTCGCTTTGTTGACATAGCAGTGTGGACGCAAAGGACAGTGTAGATGCAATAATGCCTTCTATCGACAGAACTCTGTCAACAAAAGGCGTTATTCCTCGTAGAATGAGGTTTACATACGTCGACAAAACTGCTGAGTTTTGTCGATGTTATGTCGACATAACTCAAAGGCAGTGTGGACGCAGGTATAGTTTTGTCGACAAAAGTCCACTTTTGTTGACAAAACCCGGTATTCTAGATACACCCAATATGTCACTACTATTACAGGCTTAATACTGCCAGATGGTTATATAGCTACTGCAAAGTGACTGATCAATAAGCAGATACTGTCGACAAAGCCTCTGTTGAGAAAGAACATCTAGATTACATTATCCAGATAAAAAAATTGATCCGTTTTTTCGAAAAAAAGCATCCAGAATGCCGGACACTCTGTTGAAATAAGAAGGCACCTGGAAATGCTTCTTGCAGGGCACGGGAGCAGCATTTACTTCCTTGTGCTATTCCCTGCCCTTTGCCGAGATGCGTGCTTAAAGGGACCATTGCTCTGCTCCTGTAGCTGCCTTGCTTACCTCCTAAAGGGACAGCAAGGCGATGTCTAGACTGGTATGACTTTCCGGAAATGCTTTTAATGGAAAAGTTTTCCGTTAAAAGCATTTTCAGAAAAGCGCGTCTAGATTGGCAGGATACTTTTCCGCAAAAGCACTTTTTCCGGAGAAGCGTCCGTGGCCAATCTAGACGTGCTTTTCTGCGAAAAAGCCCCGATCGCCATTTCCGTGACCGGGGCTATTTTGTGGAAAACAAATGGGGAGCCTGCAAATG